TAGGATAAAAATTAAATAAAAATAAGAGAAAAAGTTAAAAATAAGTATTTTTTTAATAAACAAAAGTATGTTTAAGTAAAATCCTCCACCACTTTTTATGGTTTAATTTTATTATATGACATGTTTTCTGTTTATCTTATTTTAGAAATTTCAAATTAATTAAAAGTCTCTAAATATGCTTCTACTAATAAACATTACTTTTAATAATTACTATTATTTTGAAAAATATATTTTGCATTACCTAATATATATATATATATTATTCTTACTTTTTCTCTTATTTTATATTATAGGAGAGAAATTTATTAAGGGAAAAATTAATTAAAAACAAATTAAAAAAGGGAAGAGAATCAAAAAGTTAATCAAAAGGAATAGAAAAAATTTAAATTTGTCAAAAAAAAGTTATGATGCGGATGTTATAAATTAAAATTAAAAAAATAGTTGATTTTTTGTTAATTGAATTCTCTAAATTGTGAAACAACTTTTTGACTTGTAAATAATTTCTATATATAAATAATATAATTAAAAATGTAGGGTTAAAATTATCTATTTTTACCATACATTGTTATGTGATTGTGACATATGAAACTGAAAGAGGAATTGTTTATTTGATTCTTAGCTATATAAGAAAAATAATTAGTTTGATGATATTTTTTTTTCAAAAATTAATATATAATAGTTGGTTCTTAATGACTCATATTGTTAATGAATTTTTTTTTTTAATTGAATTGTATGATTTTTTTCATATTTCAATTGAGGATTCTTTTCATACTCTCTCTATATATAACATGTTTGTGTGCAATATTTAGTATTTTATTATATTTTATATTGAGATTGAAATATTACTTTTTTTGTTACTTATCTTTATTATATATTTGTATAACAATTTTATAGCTAGTGAGTAGGAAGAGATTGTTAGACGAAATCGAATTTCAGATTAGTAAAAATAAAATATACTGGAGGTTTTCCAATTAATTAAGCTGATAAGGAACCAATCATCTCTTGTTGCATTGGAGATTTTGTTGGAGAACTATAAAAAAGCCTTGCAATAACAACAATAAAAAAACATAAAAATATAGTTAACTAATTAATCAAACAAAAATATTAAAGAATATTTAGTTATGATTTGAAGAGGAAAGAAGGATCATGTTCTCAACATAACATTATTCAATTGATCTCCAAAATCTACAAAGAGACGAAGAGAGTAAAATCAATCAAGAGTCTTTAGAAACTACAAGAATAAGCAAAGAAAAAATCTCAAGAAACTACAAAGAGAAGCAAAAGAGAAAAAAACAAATTATTTTTTCTATAAAAAAATCATGATTTGTATCATCAAGAATCCAAAAAAATAATATTAAATGTATAATTAAAAAAATGATAATTATAAGTATTAGACATGTCAAATCATTTTACCTCGTAAAATCAAATTATGCAAAAATATCTAACATTCTTCATTATAAATCTCTCTCCTGCAAAATCAGATCAAAGAAGACAAAAAAAAATTAACCAATCAAAGCGACAAAAGATGAAGAATAAGAAAAGTGAAAATAAAATAATCATCATACATGTCTCAAAGTAGATTTTTATAAGTGTAATATTTAGGAGTTATAAATTTGTATATTAAATAATTTGAAGGTTATGAATATGAAAGGTTAGGAGTTATATATATTACTAAATTAATTAAGATTTGAATTTATGTAATTGAAGAGGTATGAATTAAGGAGATGGTTTTATAAAATAAAATAATTGAAGAAAATTAGAGAAAATGTCAAAAAAACCACAAAAAAGATAAATTGAATCCTTGACCATTGAGAGGTGCCACATCACTTTTTTTTAGAGCAACTTACAAAAATGACTATATTTATAGGGTTATTGAAGTTCAATAGCTACAAGTATGTTATTTACAATAAATGACTACATTTTATATCTTTTTTTCGCTGTATTTTTGTATACATTTTTTATTTTTCTATTTATACACTAATACATCTTTAAGTACAATAAACTAAATAAGGAATTGACTCTAAATATAACCCACTGTCCTTATTTACGTCCATACAATGAGCAACTTTCCATTATTAACATTAGAACTAATAATTACTTATTTAAAGACATACCCGATCATATTCTTATCAATTTAAATACTTCATTCTCTTGTTGTCTCGAAAGATGTGGTATTCATATGTCATAATAATGATTGAATAAAACTTAGAAAAACGTTAATTAAAAATTCAATGAAGGTAAAAACTAAAATACATTTAACTAAAAATACACAGGAATACATACCCATATATTTAGGATACACCTCTTGAGTAAATATACAATTATTGAATAAAAGTGATTTTATTTACATACAACTATTTTTATTGGATTTAACTTTAAACATGAACATGTTATAACCAATGTGTGTATTTTAGGAGCCACAATAAATCCTATTATAAATTCATCCCGAACAAAGTTATGTTACTGATATTCCTTGATAAAAATGGCTAAAGAAGACGAAACCGTGTGAGCAATTACTATTTAGCAATACTAATATACATAAATATAGTTAAATAAGATACAACGAATATGCATACAAAAAATATAGTTAAATATTAATATACATAAATATAGTTAAATAAGATACAACAAATATTCATACAAAAATATAGTTAAATACTAATATACATAAATACAGTTGAATAACATACCACAAATATGCATACAAAAATATAGTTAAATACTAATATACATAAATATAGTTAAATAAGATACAAAGAATATGCATACAAAAATAAAGCCTATCAACGATTCTTAATTGCCCAGAAAGAAATTCACTTATTCGTTAATTAAAATACTTTAAGCCAAATTAATTAGGCATGAAAGAGAAAAAGTTGATGATGGTAAACATTGGGAAAAGATCAGTAAAACGTGCCTGCAATAATTAATTAGGCATTCAATAATCACTTTCATATTTTGTATTTATTTATATTAATGTATATAAAAACTTATTTATTTGTATATAATTAACTTTGCTATTTATTGTATAGTTATATCCATATATTATGAAAAAAAATAAAATGTAGCTATTTTTCTTGAATATATAGGTATGTTTGCCATATTCTGTAGTTTTTCCTTTTTATCTAGCTTTATATATATATATGATTATTTTTGCTAGAAATTTTCTTACTTTTAACTTGTAATAGTAGTTTTGTTACACTTATTGATAATATTATTCAAAAACTTTTGTTTCAAAAAAGAAATAAATGTCTACATAGAAGATTGTAGTCTACAAAAGATAGAGAAAATTTAAAAAGAAAATATATCTTCAATTCAATACAGTAGATTATTGTTTCAAATTAACCTCTTATATTCCATTTACCTTGCCACTTATATATCAGTTTTTGTTTGACAAATAATATTGTACATATTGAAGAAAATGAAAAAAAAAAAACTATATATTATATTTAGGATGAAAACAAATATCTATATTATCTTCATTGCCTAATATGAATGTCTATAAATATTACATACCACTTCATTTAAAAATAAGAAATTATATATATATATATAACTGCGTGAAGCGCGGATAATTTCACTAGTATAAAAAGAAAAACAAAAACGGATACAGAGAGGGAGAATATGGAGAAATTGAGAAAAAAATCAGGAAAAATAATTATAAATTGGAAAAGGGAGGTGCATATGGGCTGTTGTACGGGTAGAAACACACGTGTAGTAGATGTGTTTATTCCTATGTTTTAATGGGCCAAGATTAGTTTTAGGACAAATTACTTAACTACACTCTTTTACTTACCTTAATATCCATTTATCCCTACTTATTTCAAAAAATTCAAAAATCCCTTATTTACCTATGTATCCCGCATGTATCCCGTGCACAACGCTATGTATCCCGCATGTATCCCGTGCACAACGCTATGTATCCCGCATGTATCCCGTGCACAGCGCTATGTATCCCGCATGTATCTCATGCACAACGCTATGTATCCCGCTATGTGAAATGTATCAAACACTATGTATCCCGTGCACAACGTTATGTATCCCGTGCACAACGTTATGTATCCCGCTATGTCGAATGTATCAAACCTAATGTATCTCGTGCACAACACTATGTATCCCGCTATGTGGAATGTATCAAACCTAATGTATCCCGTGCACAACGCTATGTATCCCGCAAATATCATTTTTAAGGGATTTTGGTAAATAGAAAACTAGAAGGGATAGGATGTTATTTAGTACTTCTAATATGTGGTTCCTATAATTTATACAATAGTACTATTTTTGCAATTCAATTTGAACAACTTAATTTTTAATGGGCCAAGATTAGTTTTATATAGTACTATTTGCAATTCAATTTGTACAACTTTTTAATGCAGTGTTTGTCCAACAAAGTGTCATTTATAAATTAGGGTAATATAATATATATATTGTTGTGAACATATATTTTTACATATATTCCGCAATTTCAATATATATAACACTAGTCATGAAGTATAAATATATGTAAAAATCTACCAAAATCAAAATTGCGGAAGTTGAAATTGAGTTAGAGAACATTTTAAGGATGTTTTATGGCTAGAAAGATGAAGTACCACAAAATTATTAGCCACTTCTGTAGTTTTGAGTATTCTTCTACATCAATTTTCACAAATATAAACTAATTTCAATCACGAACCAAACTCTATATGCTTACTGCACTGCTTTTTCCAGTTTTGTTGTATTAATGAGCTATGATGCTCGGATTCTCCTAAAATATGATGATGTCACACCCATGTTGGTTCCTTAAAAAATACACAACTTTTGAAGAATCCAACACTCACCCGTTGACATTTTTGAAAAATCAAAGTAACATAGCTAATGAGTGGTTGTGTAGATCACTTATAATTATGTTTCTATCAAACATATACAAACAACAAACAAAAATTAAAAAAGACAAAAACAGAAGAGTTCACTAATTAGTCCACAAAATCAAACAAAGACAAGTTGGCCCTCTCAATCTTCCATTAAGTCCGTCGTCTCTGAGCTCTCTTCTTTGGCCTTCTTCTCTTGTGAGGCATGAGTCCATCAAAAATTTCCACAAACCATTTTGGCTTACGATATTTAAACATGAGACTCCACATGACAGTTCCAACAACTAGTCCAAAACTGTAGCCTATGACTACTGATTCCCACGTAAATCCACTAAAAAAATATGACTCGCCGTCATCTTCGGACTCCAATGGTTGAGGAACATGTGATGAATCACTCGTTCCACATTGTTTTGATAAAGGAGGACCACATAAATCAAGGTTGCCGCCATACGAATCATTTTCAAATGTGTTGAACTGTAGACCGTGAGGAATCGGTCCGACGAGATGATTTTGAGAGACGTTTAAGAAGGCCAGAAAGTTCATTCTTTTCAATTCCCGTGGAATCTTTCCAGTGAGCCGATTCCAAGAGAGATCTAAAGCTTCAAGTGTATTCAATTTCCCCAATTGCATTGGAATACCACCTATGAGATTGTTATGGGATAAATTGAGTAGCCAAAGTGAGCTGAGATCCTTTAGTGTTTTTGGAATGACACCTTCAAAATGGTTGCTTGAGAGATCTATGGTTGTCATAATTGTGCTGATTCTTTGTAGCTCAATATCGTGCCCTTTGATTACCAAACTCACTGAATCCTCATACGATATGTAGAATGACTTCTCAGATGGTTCCATGTACTTGATCCTTCCTGTGTCTTCACCATCTAATTTAATCATTGCCTTGAAGCTTCCAAAAACTTTTTCAGGAAGTGAGCCACTAAAATCATTACGAGAAAGATCAAAAATTCGCAACTTGGGAAAGCAAAACTTAGTCTGACAAGTACTTATAGGTCCATGGAACTTGTTCAACTTTAATATAAGGACCTGCAGCTCTTGAAGAGTTCCGAGCCAAGCAAGAAACGTGTCATTTATAGCATTGTTCCCCACATCAAGGACTTCTAGACCATTACACTTGAGCAACGACATAGGTACAGGTCCTTCAAATCGATTACCATTTACGACAATGGTACTCAATGAAGTGCTGTGTGCACATAATGGAGGAAGACTCCCTGTGAAATTGTTCTTTCTTAAGTCCAGCACCGTTAGAAAAGCCATGCTTCCCAAGCAATGTGGAACTGAGTCACTGAAGTAGTTGTGTGATAAATCTAATAAGGCAAGTTTGCTCATGTTACAAATGGATGAAGGTAGTGGACCCTGAAGGGAGTTAAATTTCATATCAAGATACTGCAACGAGTCCCACCTCATGCCGCTAAACCAGTTAGGGATTTGACCACAAATCTTATTGTTAGAAATATCCACGACCTAAAGTGTCTTTACATTTCTCAAGAAGTGTGGAAAATCCTTCAGTTCACAAGATGATAACTTCAAAACTTCTAGACTAGGAAAGGTGATATTTATTCCCTCATCAATGGTGATGTTATTTGATGAAAGGTCAAGGGTAGAAAGGTTTGTGGGATTCACAAGTGATTGAGGAAAAGAACCACTGAGTTGATTATGATTGAGCCACAACAAAGATAGCAAAGGGAGGTTCCAAGATGGTATGGTACCATTCAGCGAATTGTAAGACAAATCCACAAAAAATAGCTCTTGAAGCATGCTTGCATTGCTAGGCAGTGGGCCAGATAGGGAATTACTCGACAAGTCTAAGTATTCAAGATGTGTCAAACTTAAAATTGAAGCGGGAAATGGACCGGTGATGTTATTTGATGAAAGGTCAAGGGTATAAAGGTATGTGAGATTCACAAGTGATTGAGGAACAGAACCACTGAGTTGATTATTGCTTAAATCCAGTTTTATTAATGCTGGATTTGTTTTGAGCTCATCGGGTAGTCCACTATATTGATTTTTACCGAGAGACAAAAAAGGTCTTAGCAAATGGAGGCTAAACAACCAACATGGTATGGTACCATTCAGTAAGTTGTCATACAAATCCAGTTGGGTTAGCTTTTGAAGATTGCTCGCATTATTAGGAAGTGGGCCAGATAAGGAATTACTCGACAGGTCTAACCGTTGAAGATGTGTCAAGTTTGAAATTGAAGAGGGAAATGAACCGATGATGCTGTTATTAAAAAGATCTAAAAAGCGTAGCTGTTGGAGGTTAGAGAAAACATCGGGAATTTCACCTGAAAAGGAGTTGGACGAAAGATGTAAAATTGTGAGGTGCTTCAATTTAGAGATTGTGGAAGGAATATGGCCAGTGAAATGATTAAGAGATAAAATCAACTCCGTAATTTGTGTTAGGTTGCCAATGGAATCAGGAATGGAACCAGTGAATTGACATCCTTCGAGGTTCAAGATATTCAAGGATTTCAAGGTGCCAATTGAATGAGGCAGCTCACCAGAGATGCCTGTGTATGAAATATCCAACTCCATTAACAGAGTGTTGCTCCGGTGGATCTTTGGAAAAACTCCTTTGACAAGATCATTCCCTCTCAATTTGAGTCTTTCCAAGTTTGTCACAAGGAAAAAGCTCTCTGTGAGAACACCTCGCAGATTAGTATCTGTAAGATCCATGTACCTTAAGGAGGAAGAAATGTTCACAGGTAACGGAGATGAGATGTTGACAAGATAGAGAGAAAGTACCTCCAGATTTGTGAAGTCTTGAAGCATTGTTTCAAATGTTCTCTCATCAAGTTGTAATCCATAACTATCAGAAAGATCAAGTGAAACCAAATTGGAAAGGTATGAGATTTCTGTTGGTATTTTCCCTTCAAACCAAGCATCAGAAAGGTTGAGATGCCTCAAATTTGTCAATTGGCCAATGTTACGTGGGATTGAAGAATAATTGAAGTAATTGTAAGCAAGGTTTAGTGTGTGGAGATGATGAAGTTGGAAGAGGCTGCTGTTGGGATGAATACTTCCACCAAGTTGACTGCAACTAAGGTCCAGGTCGATAACATGACCGTTTAACATGTCACAAGTGACTCCATCCCAACTGCAGCAATCCCTACTCTCATTCCAAGACTTTGTTTTTGGGAACGAAGTAAAACAGTCGGAGTAGTCAGAATTAACTCCAAAAGATTGCTTAAACTGAAGCAAAGCAGAAGCTTCAGTGGGAGAGCAAAGTTGATGATCCAAGGAAGAAGAAAAGCATCCACTTCTTAATAACACAAAACAGAGAAATGAATAAAAGAAAAAGAAACGCCCCATCTTTCTTTTTCGAATTCAGCAAATAACAGGATGGATGTTCTCTTCTTACAAATCATTCTTCAGTATCCATATATATATATATATATATATATATATATATATATTAATGTTGAAGACTGCACCATGTGTAACACACACTGCAGAAAAAATTTCTGCAATGCCAGTGTGTAGATGTAACTTCAAACAAATTTCCGAAATAGTGATTGATTTACACGTATCTTCTGCCGTTTTCCATCTTGTAATCCACGAGTTTTTTCAAAGGAGATTCCAATCCAAACAATGGTCCCGCAATAAAGTAGAAATGTGAACTTGAGGACATATACAGAACCATGTGTAACACATAACAAAAAATGGTAGTATCTTATAGTTGTTCACAACAACTAAATGATACAAATAACAACATACTCGATGTAATCCCACAAGTGGAATTTGGGAAGGAGGGTAGTGTGTACACAGACCTTACTATAACTTGTGGCGGTAGAAAAGACAGGTTGTTTCCTATAGACCCTCCATTACAAAATTTACAAATTCTGCGTAACCATTACACTATAGGTACAACATGGTAACAATACAAGTACCATTATTTTTGAAGGTTGAAAAATGTGTAATTCATTTTAACACATATAAAGAGTTTTAATCAAAGCTACTTGGTTCAGATGAACACGTAGCTGCTTTACTAGATTCGCCCCTACATTGTTATGTTTAGCTAGGTGGAAAAATAACTTTAAAATCACTACAATAAATTAGAAATAATATCATGCACTTGGAATTTGTCATATATTTCGTTCCTCGGATAATTGTATGCTAGATAATTTGAAACAGAGCTTCAAAGAATCTTTTTTCACTATCAAGTCGTCTAAAAAGTAACTTAGTCATAGGTCCATGGAACTTGTTCGACTTTAATATAAGGACCTGCAGCTCTTCAAGAGTTCCTAGCCAAGCTGGAATTGTGTCATCTATAGTGTTCTTCCCCACATCAAGGATTTCTAGACCATCACAGTACTTGAGCAACGACATCCCTTCAAATTGATTACCATTCAGGACAATGGTTCTCAATGAAGTGCTCTGCGCACATAATGGTGGAATACTCCCTGTGAAATTGTTCCTTCTTAAGTCCAACACCATTAGATTAGCCATACTTCCCATGCAACTTGGAATCGAATAACTGAAGTTGTTGTGTGATAAATCTAAGCTTGTTTGTGTAGCGAATGGATGAAGGTAGTGGACCTTGAATGAAGTTAAATTTAAGATCAAGATAATGTAGGTTATAGTAACTAAATTGTTCTACGTGAATTATGGGAAAGGTTTAGGAACCGCAACGAGTCCCACCTCATGCTGCTAAACCAGTTAGGGATTTGACCACTAATCTTATTGTTAGAAATATCCAAGAACTCGAGTGTCTTTACATTTTTCAACAAGTTCAGTTCACAGGATGATAAGGACAAAATTGCTAGACTAGGAAAGGTGATATGTGTTCCCACATCGAGGGTGATGTTATTTGATGAAAGGTCAAGGCTATAAAGGTTGTGAGATTCACAAGTGATTGAGGAAAAGAACCACTGAGTTGATTATGGCTTAAATCCAGTTGTATTAATGCTGGATTTGTTTTGAGCTCATCGGGTAGTCCACTATATTGATTTTGACCGAGCGACAAAAAAGATATTAGCAGAGGGAGGCTAAACACCCAAGATGGTATGGTACCATTCAGTAAGTTGTAGACACTGAATATATAAATATATATTATTGTGATATCATTAAGATTTCTTGTTTACACTCCATACTCATCGGTAAATGATACTGTAAGAGTATATATATTACCAAATGGTATCTCTAATAAGGGAAAATAAAATAAAAAAGAAGAACAAAGAAATAAATAATAAAAATATTACTAAATGGTATCTCTGATAAAATGAAAAATGATAAAGATAGAAATAATAAAATTGTTACCAAATGGTATTTCTATTAAAGGATAATATGAAGAAAAAAAATGAGAAAAGAATAAAAAAAAATAAAATAATAATAAATAAGAAAAGAACAAAAGTAATTTATTTTATTTTCTTAAAAATGTGAAAATATAGAAAGAGAAAAATAAAATAAAAAGAAGATAAACTAACAAACAAAAAGTAGAAATAATAAAATTATTACTAAATGGTATTTTTAATAAAGGAAAAAATAAAAAAAATAAAAAAAAAGAGAAACGAATAAAAGAAAAAATAAAAATAGTAAATGAGAAAAAAATAATTAAAAAAATAGGACAAAAAGAATAAATTAGAAAAAAGAATGGGGGGTAGGGCTGTAATTATTTTTGAGAGAATGATACTTCTTGAATTACTTTGGATCGAGGTATGAACATGTAATTATTTTTGGTTTTATGACTCATTTATGTAGTTTCCCTCCTATTATAAAATGTGATATAAACAATACGTATGAACTCAAGGCATCAACCTCCTATTTAACAAATTCTATTAAGAATCAGTTGAATTTATATGACATAATATGTCATTTTTATACTTATAACTCATACAAATTTATAGAAATCATATAATTTAAACTCAAGTATTAATGCAACTTTAGTCTTTAAGTAAAAATAAAATCATTTCCACTTTCACAGAATATAAATTAGATTATTCATCAAATATTCGTTAAATTTGTAGTCTTTCTCCCTACACCGTAGGATTCAACTGTAACCTTGATTGAGTTTTACTATATTTGCATATAATTACTATTACATTATCTTAAGGTGTAATTTTGAGTATATCACCATCCTCACAAGCCACAAATGATATATCAAAACTATGAAAAGGGTCAAAATAGGAAAAACAAGCAGAAAAGAAAAAAACCCAAAAAGACCATAAGTATCGTTACATCATCCACCACTAAAACACACGTTCATGCGAAGAGAAAGAAAGTACCTGCAGTTAAAAACTTGGGGATATTTGTCACTACTAACCACCTCTAACAAATACCTAACTGCATAACTAATTATATGACAGCTCAGCTAATCATTTACAATTACAACTTGTATATCATCTAGCAACTTTTACTACAGACAACTGATATAGACGGTTAAAAACATTTGCAAAAAAAATACAACATTAACATGACATTTTGTATTACACATCTGTTCTATACACTACATTTAAAGGTCAAGGAGATGGATCATATAGCAACTCCTTGAGAACTTCAGATTTACTAATTTGCGTCACTTCCTCTGTTGTTTTGCGTCTTCTTGTTTAATAGACCTTGGTTGAGTACATTGTAAAAAATGATATAGCATTTGAATTGGGTTGCCGGAAATTTACATACAGTGAACTAATAAAAGAATATAATAGAAAATGGCAAGTTGGCAAGAATAAATGAACTCCTGCAGTAAAGAGAAGACAGACAGAGTAAGAAATATTTTTCAGAATGTATGTGTGCACAGAGGTAAGAGTAGAGTGTGATTCATAAGGAGTCAAACCTTTTTGTGCACCATAATTCCATGCAATTGAAGTGCAAAGTCAAGTAAAAGCAAAAATCCTATCTACAATTTTTGTCCGACAGATTGGACACTCAATGCAAGCCAGGGAACAAGACTTGCACACTGCAATATTAAGACCGCATCAGAACAGCCTATATAACATGAGAGCACAAATAATGGAAGCAAAGAATTAAAATAGCATCTTACAACAAAAATGCCGGCAAGGAAGAAGCATTGCAGCAGTAGGTGACTCAAAACACACTTTGCATATATGTGAATTTGCATCACCATTGCCCAAGTGCCTGTGTTCTTTCTCCTTCATTTCTTGCATCCGAGCCTGGAGGTGCAAATGTAAAACATCACGGAAAACTCCCATATTTTTTTTGGAGTCATTATGACACAGAAATAACAATAGTGAGCACCACCTTCTAGTAAACCGAAACAGTAAGATGTGATCCCTGAGTCTAGGGATGACAAATGGGGCGGGGCAGGAAAAAACATATATTGTAAGAACTTCAAATGAGGCAGGGCAGGGGGGCAGGTTGTTTTGGGCATTTGGCCCATTCTTTCATCTGACTATCTAACCTTTGTTGGTAGCTTACTAAATACTACCAATCATACAAGTTCACCAAAGAGATGGTGAATTCTATGGGCTTTAAGGGGGTGACGAACTTTGTCAATACTTATTTATTTTAGTGGAATCTATCTGTCAATTTAACCCCCCTTAAAATACAAAGAAAAAATGCAGACAGGAAGAAGATGAACAAATTATTTTCCTTAAAATACAAAGAAAAAATGCAGACAGGAAGAGATGAACAAATTATTTTCCTTCATACCAAGGTAACCAGGAGGGGCACTTTGGTTCACTCAACATACAAATATAAATTGGAAAAACCATAAAATAATTGTATGAAAACAACGATATTAGTGATAAATACATAATATTTAATGTGCATGTATAGAATGACATATATTAGATATAAATTTTAAAAAAGGACTGCAAACGCAATCAGGAAAACTGTTATATCGATCATATCACATAATGTTAAAAAGGATGTGAGAGTATTAGTTAGTTGTTCTTCATGTGATGTGTTTTAATTCAATATAAGAATGCTGTTGTGTGATCAGTGTAATGTCAGTAGTTTCACTATACTATAATGGAAATCTTCTGATTCTTGTCCAATACTCCCTCCGTTTCAAATTATGTGTCATGATGTATAAAAATAATTGTCTCAAATTTTTGTCAATTTAGAAGTTCAAGACAAAATTATTTATTATTTTCCATTTTATACTTAGTAGTAATTACTCTTGAAGATTACAAACACCTCAATAGAGTAAATATTTTTAATGGAGAGAGATTATATTTTAAGATATAAATGAGGGTAAAATAGTCACACACAAAAGCTCCTAATTTATGTTTTCTTAAGGAGCGTGCAAAAGAGAAACACGACAAATAAAATAATTTGGTAGATATTGTATTCTAGATCAATTTCCACTGATTCAATAATAAAAGATAATATTGGGAAAATTAATAAAAGATTACAACACAATACTCATCCTTTATGTTTAATAATAAGAAAAGCCAACAATATTTGTTAATACCCAATCCTTTATGCTTTAAAAATTAAACAGTTCTTTTGTTAGAAAAGATTAAAGCATTGAAAAGAATAGGACTAACATTTAATAGGGGAGGGGGGCAAGCGGTTTAAAATTTTAGCGGGTCAAAGCTTGACCTGCCCCCTCCCTGCCCTGCCCCATTTACATCCCTATCACCGACTCTTCATCCTATTTACATAAAACATACTTTCATAATGTAAGATCCATTTGATATATTTACAGAAAGTAGCACTCTATATAACTTTATCTGTCAAAAATTAAATTTATTTGATTATTCAGCTTTTGTTAACTTTCCAGAAAAAATTTCCCCAAAATACTTTCAAATTACCACTTTGATCTTCTTCCACAACTACCATTAGAACAAACAAGTATAAATAAACTACAACCCCGGTTTAAAGAAGAAAGTTCCACACCAGAAAGTGAAGAACGTAGCTTACAGTTGAAATTCTCTCCAACTTTCGATATTATGTAACATTTTACAAATGTTCACATATAAGATAAACAACATCAGAAAGTTCAGATGAATGAAGAGGATATGTCAAACACTACATGCCAGACAAAGGTGCAGATAACCGATCAGAAAAGGACAAGCTTAATTACCTTCAAGTGGGCAACCAGAGGTTCTTCCTTCAGAATCTCAGTAGCTGCATTTGTATGAACCCCGTCTTGGCTAACATCAGAGATGTGGTCCTTGTTGTCACCAACATTAATTTCTGGATTCATCATATTGCCTTCTCCACCTAATTGCCAGTCAGCTGCCAGTTTCAAATCTTGCCTAGCACTATTCTCTTTCTTTAGTTGAGCAACAAGCACCCACATATTTGCCAAATCATTTTCCAAAGAAGCCTCCCTTTTCTTTCCCTCCTCTACTTTTTTCCTGTACTCATCTTCCACAATCTCCTTGTCAACCAACGCAGCCTCAAGAACTGCTTCACGTTGTTTTCTTGCTTGCAACTCCATCTTTAGATCTTCAGGATCTAGGTCCCACGTGTCGAAGTCATCATGAATCACTCCTGAAACTTCACTTACTCGGCCAGAAACCCGGCCTCTACGCCCTGGT